ACCCAGGCATGAGATGTTCTGATTCCGAACGTGCTTTCTCCGATTTCTTTCCAGTTAGCTCATGCTCAAGTTGGAGAATTGAAGTGCACATCGCCTTTGGCGGGTTTTGTGGCGAAAGGGGAAACCTTGAGATATTTTGAATATCAAATTATGTTTGGAGATTCTTACCTTTGAGAGTCTTCTTTTTTTAGCTAAAGATCTATCGCTGGAAGGCCGCGTGCCTTCAATCCTCGCGGATTTTTCCAGCCAAAAGATGGGTACCCCAAGCCCAAGAACAAAGCAAAGGCCCGTGTTCTTTTTAGTCTGCCCTTGTTCTTAACACCAGTTTTCGATCAGACCCGAATGACGAAATCAAGGGATCCAATGTCTGTCTCCCACTTTGGACCTTGAAACCCAAGAAAATCCCGTGGTTTGCCCTTAGACTCCCCTCACAATCGACCGGCACACACTGCTTTCTTTTGGCGCACGCTGTCTCTTTTCTTCCCCGAACACGGTGCAAAGAGCACAAAGCATGTCCCTCAGCAAAGACAACATGTACTCAAACACAGTCCCCAAAAGTAATCCGCCGAATTGTTGGGGACCCCAACCAAACTTTAAAGAAACATACTGTTTGTGTACCCCAACCAAACTCTCCCAAAAGTCAATACAGTCTTGTGTGTGTAACTTTCTCCTGTCCCCTGGAACATAGAAACAAAAACAGAAACAGGCATCCCTATGGGGCTTGGTAGGCGGAGGTGCAGCACAGTCGCCTAGCCATGGCAGCAGCCTCGGACACGTTTTTTGTTTGTTTATAATAATAATAATAATAATAATAATAATAATAATAATAATACAAGTAATAATAATAGTCATAATAATAATACTAATATATATATATATATATGGGTTTGACAGGTCGCTCGTTTTTTGGTTTGATAGTTCTTTCGGCAAACTACTGGATTGCGATTGGGTTGGAGCTTTCGACTTTAACCTTTTGGGGAAATGACGGGGTTTTTCACTAAACCCAAAAAAGTTAAGCTTTCTGCAGAGGGGTCAACAGCAACAAAGTTTCGGCAAACTAATGTAACTACTTGGAGGTGTTCTCCAAGGGAAGACACATCACTCACTTGCCCAGAGCGAATGGAGCTTTTGATTTTTTAGTTTCCCCCTTTTGGCTGCTTTTGGTATCATGGCCGCAAGAGGTTGATCTTTCTTTTTGGGTCCTTGGGGCAACTGTCAGCTTGGGGTTCAGCTTGATCGTTTTGGTTCTTGGGAGTTTCGGAGCGAGCGATTTAGGCCACTTGAAAAGTGCTCTTACTTCCAGTCTTTGACTTGTAGAAAATCCAGAAGTGTACGGTTTCTCTTTGATTTCCCAATGTTTCCTGCAGAACCAACCAGACATAGGTATCCAAAAAGAATCCTTCGCTGTTGCTCGGCTGTGGCTGGTTTAGTCTCCGTTGTCCGTGTTGCTTTCCTTGTGGTGCCCAATGGCAACACAGAGAAGCACAACAACAAAATACACCAGCGTAGACCCCAGATAGCACATCACGGCTACGAACCATTATGCAGCATCATAATGGTTCCTGAGGCATCATGATGATGTTGACAGCATCATGATGATGTTGAAAACATCATGATGATACCACAGCCACTCAGCATGTGCGCTAAATAGACACGAAGACAACGTCCTAATGAGTTCAGCATCAAAATGATGATATTGACAGCATTATGCTGATGCACCAGCAACGAACGATTCCGCGCCACATATCTAGCAGAAAAAAGGCAGAGACGACGTCCTGATGAGTTCGACAGCATCATGATGATGCGGACAGCATCACGATCATACGGACAGCACCACCATGATGCGGACAGCATCATGGTGATGCGAACAGCATCATGGTAATGGTAAAATTGAAAAGGCAGTATCATGATGATACCACAGCCACGAATCTTCTCGCGACAGCGTAGTGAAATTCAGCATCATCCTGATGTTGACAGTAATCATGGCGCCACCACACCCACGAGCCATAACGCAGCATCGCAGCATCGCAGTGACAGCAGCATCATGACGCGGGTGACAACATCATGATGACACACCAGCCACGAACCACGCACCATGACAAACGACTGTTAGACTACTAGACCAGCAACAACGTCCGAACCGGTTCAACGGCATCATGAAACAGCACCCGCCCTAGCACCTTGCCGTCCATATGCGCCCACACCGTCACCAACACCTCAAGACAGCACCAACAGCACCCCAACGCAGCACCCGCACCAGCATTGGACAGGTCCCCGAGCACCGAGCACCTTGCACCTTGCCGTCACGTACTGTCACCAACCCGAACAGCACCTCAAAACTGTACCTGCGCCAGCACCCCAAAGTGCATGCCCCCTAGCTCCCAACCGTCGATCTTGCAAAACAATCCCACTTCTTCATTAGAAGTTAGAACCCCGGCAACCCAACACAGCAGTTGCACCACCACCCCAAACTGCGTCAAGCTCGCAAAACAGCACCAACACCCCGAACTACACTGGCACCCGGCCGTCAATCTCGCAAAACAGCACCTCCACCAACACCCGAAACCGCATACCCCCTAGCACCCGGCCATCACTCTCGCAAAACAGCACCTCCACCAACACCCCAAACTGAATGCCTTTAGCGCCCGGCCAACTCTCGCAAAACAGCACCTCCATTAGCACCCCAAACTGCATGCCCCCTAGCACCCGGCCATCACTCTCGCAAAGCAACACCTCCACCAGCACCCACTGCATGCCCCGTAGCGCTCGGCCATCAATCTCGCAAAGCACCTTCACCAGCACGTCACACCTGGCACCCGGCCGTCAATCAGCACCTCCACCATCACTGTCGCAGAACAGCACCTCCACTAGCACCCCAAACTGCATGCCCCCTAGCACCCGGCCATGCAAAACAGCACCTCCACCAACACCCCAAACTGCCTGCCCCCTAGCACCCGGCCATCACTCTCGCAAAACAGCACCTCCACTAGCAGCATGCCCCCTAGCACCCGGCCATCACTCTCGCAAAACAGCACCTCCACCAACACCCCAAACTGCATGCCCCCTAGCACCCGGCCATCACTCTCGCAAATCAGCACCTCCACCAACATCCAAACTGCATGCCCCCTAGCGCCCGGCCGTCAAGCTTGCAAAACAGCACCTCCACCAGCACCCCAAACTGCATGCCCCCTAGCGCCCTGCCATCACTCGCACCCGGCCATGACTCTCGCAAAACAGCACCTCCGCCAGCACCCCAAACTGCATGCCACCCGGCCGTCAATCTCGCACCTCCACCAACACCCCAAACTGCACCCCAAGCTGCATGCCCCCTGGCACCCGGCCGTCAAGCTCGCAAAGCAGCACCTCCACCAGCACCCCAAACTGCATGCCCCCTAGCACCCGGCCCTCAATCTCGCAAATCACTTTTCCTTCTTTATTAGAAGTTAGAACCCCTATAGCTTTCAGCTATCTGGGGAACAAACACTATGGCAAAGGAAGCCAACCACTATGGTTTTGTTGGGCGCCCTTTTAAAACCCTGCCAGAAAACAGTACTCTCCACCGAAGGAACAATGCCAGACTAAAGGCTTAACTTGCACATATTGGTTGCATTGCGGTCAATACATCAGGTCACAGGAAACAAAAAAGAAAAAACAATTTACTCCAGCAAAGGGCGTTACCAGGTCTGGTGGCAAACGAAATGACTGAACCCTTGGCGCCTGCTTTTGCCATTTTCGGGTTCTCTTGATTGCCGCTTTCAACCCGCACTTCGAGCTTTTGCAGAGTTCTTGCCCAGGTATTCCTATGATTTCTTTGGTGGATCAGTTTGTTTTTCCACTTGTTTAGAAACTTACGTGTTTTTGTTTGAAACCTCACCGCCAAGCTTTACTCATGGGCCAACACGTTAGGAACCGCGTTGTTCCACACTGTGCATAAATGTTATTCACTGAGGACATGCCTTCGTTTTTGATTCTGCCCATTTTTCTGAGGTTGTTAAGGAATGCGCCTTTGCAAGGTTCTTTTTCCCCCAGCTGAAAGCTCTGGGGTCTCTGCTCGGAGCCTCAAGAGTGGTCTCCAAGCTTCCGGCGCAGGCCTCTAACAAGTTGCTAGCGGCTAGTGGCTGGAAGCGGCTCACATGTCGATGCATCCAGAAAACTGGTGGAGAAACTTTTATCCATTGGGAGGGCGACCTGGTTTCATGGGACTTCTTTTCTGGGCTGAAGCAGCGCGACTTCCGATTCTGGCGTCTCTTTAGGCTATGGCCGTGGCATCATGAGGGTAAAACTAAGGAACCGACAGCCACCAGGGCAGAACTTGTTTGATCTGAGTTTGGGGCACCTCCGTACTGAAGCCTCGTAGTGATAGAACAGGGGCTGACCTTCAGATTCTGACATGAAGACCGCTGTCTTGTGTCTTTAAGGCCCATTTCTTATGTTAGGATTGGTATATTTCACCCAGATGTAGCACATGGGCCCTCAAGGCAGGTAGTAGCGTGCGCTGTAGCCCATGGAATCGAGTCACATCCAGGACATATCCCCATGGTTTTTGTTTTTTCGCTCTCGCTCTCTCTTGCTGTTTGTTTCCAAAACTGCGCAGTTGTCTCCATTTTGCCAAGTGAAGGCACCTCAGCACAAAGGCGGCGTTGAGTCAGCAAACCAAAAAACGGCGCGACAAACAAAATCAGTGAATGAACACAACACACATCCGGGATCCACTTCCTGGTGGCTCCCAGCCATCCGGTTCCTTAGCCTTTTAGCTTCTTAGCTCTTTAGTGTTTAGTGGGGATTTCCATTGAACCCACTAAACGTTTTTCACTTTTAGCGGGGGATCTGAGGACAGCCCAGACTTGTCCGTGCGTTTGCTTTTCAACAAACCAAACAAGACGAGACAAACAAAATACTGCATGAACAAAACGCCAATCCGAGATCCACCTGTCTGTGCGCTATTTTTGTTGTCTTCTTATTTTTTTCCCTCGCTTTTGGCTTGCCATGGCCGGCGCCGCATGGCCGACAGTGGGCTTGGGCTTCGCCACTTCACGCAGCTCATCAGCGCCTGCGGAGTTCGATGGCGCCAGGCAAGGGACCTGATTAAAGCGCGTTTCGGGCGGCTTTGGGGTAGCTTCCATTTAAATTTGCTTGAGGATATGTGTTTTTTCCCCTGTTGGTGTTAAAGGGAATCTCTATCACTACGTGATTGTTATTCTTATTTTTTCTTCGGGGGTCTTAGCCAAATGGAAGGTAGGTTTCGGGTGGGTTTCGCGTGGGGTTTTGGGTGGCTGGGTGGCTTTGGGTGGCTGAGTGGCTTTGGGGAGGAGTTTGAATGGGATTCAGATGACTTTTTCTGGAAGTGACTTTACAGTTTGAGGCTGGCTGGAATCGAGCAGATCCGTTTTTCGTGCAGAGAAGTCTGAGCTTGGCCTCGGTTTATGCTTAAGCACTGGACCGCGACCAAGGAATGTGTGCAGAGGGCGGGCACAGCCCCAACAACACCCACATGGGCGTGGGGCATAACCTATGGCTCCATTTTGGGGCGGATGAACATCCATTTGCCACCTATGTAGATGTTCGCCAGGGGTACAGGGTTTTGACCCACAGCCATACATCTTCCCGTAAAAGGGAAATCATGTTCTGGCGAGGGTAGCGTGGTATTGTTCCTGGAGATGAACCATCGTGTAAAGCCTGGAGATGAAAGCCACTACCGGGCGGTCCTTGAAAGACGCTGCCTGAAAAACCTGCAAATGTCCAATGTTGTCTGGAAAAGGTAAGTGGTTGTTCTTGTATATATTTTCTGGGGGGGGTATTATAATAAGTCTGTAGTCGTTTCCATTCTCTCCTGGAGTGACAAGATTCGCCCAAAAAGGTGGTGAAGCGACTGCGCGTCCATCCGAGCAGTGGCTTCCTGTTGTGTTTTTGACGAGCGGAACCCTTTGAGTGGTGAGATTCCGGTCTCCCATGAGCAACAGCGTTGCACTCCGGCATCGGTCTCATCAAGTGAGCACACAAAACCCCTCTTGCGACTTGGCGCATAGTTCTTGCCCACACATTGCTGCCCCTTCTGTGGATCCGTTTTGATATTTACTTGAGCTTCTTTGTTGTCACCCTTGGGTGACCGACGTCTTCATACTCACACCAGGTCCCCCAGTAGTGCCCTTCTCTCCCCTTTTTTGGGGGAGGGTTCCCCTAAAATAAAATCGGGTACTCTTATTCTATCCTCTCTACTGGAGAACCTAGCACAGCTTGGGGGCAGCGCCTCTGGTCCTTTCAATAGCAGTTGCCCCCACAAAAAAAAGGGGGGTGTCAGCCGCTTGATCCATGTGGCGTCCGTCTGGCAAGTTCTGGGGGAAACATGAGTCACTTGCGTGCGGGTTAGAACCAATTTGGGTGTTGGTCAAAATTAAACAGGAGGGTTACGCAGGTTTTGGTCCATGGTTCCACTTACCCAGGTTCCATTTTGGTACCGGTTTTTTGAGCCACAGCCATTTGTCCCTCCCCAGATTCCGTTGGGTTTGTGGTTGGTCAAGTTGAATGCTATCATCGGAGCCATGGATTCTGATGGTTTCTTTGACGCCACTCTCGTGCCTCAGGGCCACGGTAAATTGGTAAACCAATTTTTGCAACTCACTTTGGCTGTGGCTCCAAATTACGCAACTGGGGTTACGCGGGTTTTAGTCTACCTGTCCATTTACCAGGGTTCCATTTTGGATGAGCCACACCCCTTTGCGAAGGAACGGTTTTTCAAACAAAATCTCCGCAGGCGCTGTGGCTGTTCCGGTCCATGCCGTGCAGACGCGTGGCCCCGAACGTCTTCCACTTCAACGCGACCATGGCCGCCTGCGAGAATCCCGGAACCGAGGGGAGGAGGTGTCGCGAACTTCTTTTTTTTTGGCGGAGAGGGTTCCCCGTACCTTCTGTTCGCTGTTTGTGTTTGCCCAAATATGAGTTGTAGCGAGCCTATGCTAGGGCCCCCCAATAGAGGCTACAGACATCGACTAAGGCCTATTAGAGGCTAGTGGGGTTCCTTGTTGGGCGTCCCTTCTTTGGGGCTCCCCTGACAACCATGAGAGGTGCGCGACCGATCTACCCCAATTTTTGGTTTTTTTTTGGGGTTCATGTCCTGGTGCAAAGCACTAGAAAGCTTCACTGCTTTTCCCCAAAGATTCGACCACACAGGTGAAGACATCTCGGTGTAATGGGTGGTTTCCTTTTGGTGTCCAAAAAGGGTTCCACCACTTTGAGACCCCCCCCGCCTCCAACGTTTGTTTTGTTCGCAAACGTGCCCGGGTCGAATGCTTTCGAGGAAAGCTTCGCAGTGGCGATACGTCCTGGCACTGCTTGCAGAGATGCGACTCTCGGCGGACGTGGTCAGCTTCAACTGCAGCATCAGCTCCTTGCCTATCGCACAGATTTTTGAGGGTACCCGTACGGGGTCCTGTTTGGTTATTTTGGTTGAAACATAGATGGCGATTCCTGGTTTACTTGGTGGCTTTAATCATCTACCAGGGAAACCCATCTATTTACCCTAAAAGGACACCTATGGTGTGCGCGTGTGGAGGGTACCCGTAGAACTTGCCAAGGTTCTCAGCAGGGAATGAGCTACTTATCGCACCGAGAAGGAATCACTACATACATTCATTTCACCCGGGGCCTTGTTGGGTTTCCGTGACATTTCCCTTTCAACCTGCAAACCGTTTTCCAGCTTGTGTCCCGAGCTCCCACCTGGCCCAGACTTAGCTAACAAGATGCTCGGGTTTGCCCATGTTTGGCCTCAGGCCCCACTCAATTCCTAAGCTTAGCAGGCTGGGAGATGTGTTTCTTATGGGGAACCTGAGTTTGTGAAGGTTCATGCTCTGAAAGCTTTTGCTTGATCTTCGTCTTAGTAGGCAGCAGCACCGTACCCCTCCCTCCGCAAACATCTCCCAGGTGGTATCCCCAGGAGCCACCGGAACCTTCGCACACCCGAGCCTGTTCCGAACCACTGACCGCTCGAAGCCTCCCGGAACCCCATCTAACACTTGTAGCTCACGCCCCCCCCGGAGCCTCCCGGAACCCATCGGCACCGCCGGCTCCATCTTCCAGGGTTAAGCCAACTGCTTGAGGCCTTCCAGAGAACCTGGGCTCCGGAGCCGAAGCCGAACCCGCCGAAACCCGCCGAAACCCGAGCCAGCAACTCCCCGGACCCTTTCGCAACCCTCAGAGCTCGCTGACCGCTCCGGAGCTGGACAGAATTCCGGAAAAGGGCGTTGATTCTTTCCCTCAAGAACAAGCATGACAGGTCCGGCCCTCTTTTTCTGGGTGTCTTCAAGGTTGGACCCGCCCCAAAGTGGTCATTCTGCTCCCCTTCCCCCAATATCACACGCAAATGCGCTGCCAAACCAGCGTTCTACCCGTGTGCCCAGCTGAACCAAAGTGCACCCTAGTGTTCCTTGCTGTTTGGTTTGATCAAACAGCAAGCCAAAAAACTTCCCCAGAATTGGCTCCCCTTTTTGATTTGTTGCTTTTTTGGGGTCCCTTTGTTTTCCACTATCTACACTCTTTTTTGGTACATACCAAGCAAGCTACCCTCCCACCAATTCGAACCTGACGTTCGGGGGCTCCTGGTTTGGACAATGTTCTTTTTAATGGCGGCAGATTCCGGCTGTGAATTGGTGGGTACATATAAACCAAGTCCTGTTCCAGGAAACCCCAAATGAGCCACAATCAAAACCCGGGTAAGTGAAGGTTAGCAAGGGACGATCCCAGCCATAAATATCTTCGGCCGCCTTAGTTTTGTGCATGGTTGTGGGTCAACCATTTTTATACCGTTGCTGGGGTTGATGGGCGGTTGCAATGATAGGCTCCTGCCAGAAGGGCGAGCAGTGGCAAAAGGCGCTCCAGCTGTTTGCTGCCATGCCAGAAGCGCAGATCCAGTGCCTTGAGTTTGCAGCCATAGGTGTCCTTTTGGTTTTCCTTTGATGGCCCTGGTGGACGAGGTGGTTTACTCATCTACCAGGGCCATCTATTTCCCCACAAGGACACCCATGTTTGCAGCTCTTAGTTGAAAATAGGCGAATTCAATTCGCGGGGGGTCCTGGTAAAGGTATGGCTTAAACCACATGGCGAGTTGGGCAATCGACTTTTTCCTCCAACTGTGCCTCCGGAACAGATTTCCACGTTTCGGACACAAAGCGGGAAGCAGATGGGACTCTAGTCCATCTCTGAGGCCGGGAATTCAGGGTGCCACTATCCAAGCGGGACTCCAGCCGGCACTATGAACAGGTCTAGTTTTGGCTATGAACAGGCACTTGGCAAGAGAGACTGTTTTCTTGACCGTTGAACCTTTCGACCCCTGTGGATGAAAGGTGAACACTTGTACCACATACCAGCCCGAACACAATAACTTGTTGCTGGCCACTGGTGAAGTTTTGGAAGTTATAGGCAAAAGGGCGAAGCACGCCAAATTGTGCGCCTTCTTGTGCATCGTGCATTACTAGAACCTGACAAGCAAGCAGCTGGGCTAGCCTTTGACTCCGAAGTTCATACTGTGGATGGACAACATCCTGCGTTTTTTGGTTGAGAGTTGAGGGTACCAAAGCTGGTTTTGGAGAATGCAAGCAGCAACCTTTCATTTCTGGGCTTCCTATTTGGAGATAATCGCTCTTGGACTTGTCTAGACATGCGGAACCCCTTGTGAGTATCGTTTTTCAGCCCCAAAAATCACTTGGAGGGGTCCCTCAGTTTCACTTGCTCTGAATTCAACCTTCTGTGGGTGAGAGAGTGAAAGGTAGTGGTGGTTCCTTTTCCTGGAGGTAAATCAATGTTATTTTAGAGTGAAGGTCCCTAAAAGATGAGTTTGTGCGCCATTTTTCCGTGGTAAGGTGTGAATTTGAATCCGCGGCCAGCGAATGCGTAGATGTAAACGACTCCGTCATTGGAAACTCTTAAACTTTCCACTTCTCCAATTCAACCTGAAACGGTTTTGACGTGGGGTTTGGAGGAAACGGTTACCATCCCTCCCACTAACAAGTTCAGCTTCCAGGTGCCTCGCAAGTGCCACGGCGATGTGGCATTTTCCAATAAAACGGGACCCTGGTTCCCAGATGGTGAGGTAACCACGCCAAATATGGGGTAACAAAGCTGACAAAAGGGTAACACCGCCAAGACTGCAGTAATCCCGCCGAACAATAAGACAAGATCAGTGTTCCTCCGTGACCCAACGCTCGATTTTGTGGCCGCCCTGGACCCGGTTTTTGGGGGAAAACCTCGATCAAAAGAAGAATAACAAAAACACCTCTTCCAGGTACCTCCCGAGTGTGGCATTTTCCAATCCAAAGTTGGCCCCCCTGGTTCCGGCGGCTTGGGATTCCGGATCCCACTCGTGAGGTGCGACCTAGTCAGCATCAGCTGCGCCATCAGCGCCTTGGCTTCCTGCGCCAGATGGCTGCAAGCCCTGCAGCTGTTTCAAGAGCTGCTCGGCCAAAAGAGCAGCGCCCAAATGGGTGTGTCACTTTTTTTTTGGAGGCCGATCCAACCCAACGATGCGAAGGAGGGACTAATCGGGTTCTTTTTGGGTTTGCCTCCCGTGGCCAGACGATTTCGTTCAATTTGAACACCTGGGACTGCTTGGCCTATTTTCCCTGATGTTTTGTTGTGAGAGATTTCAGGAGAACAATATTAGGAAACCAGCGGTTGGCATTTTCTCCACAGTTCCAACCATCGAGAGAACTATTGTTTGAACACCCACTGAACATGGAACCCGCCAAAGGATCCCTTTTAAAGGCAAATGGTCTCCCTGGACCTCAGTCAGGTTCCATGTGGACAGGGGGGGTATCTAACCATAGTGGATTTTTGGAAGCATGTGGCTTGGCTTTCAGCGCCCTGTTGTTGAGGCTTTCCATTTTTTTGCATTTTGCTTGGATGTTAGGACTTTAACTGTTTGCCAACTAATGGGTTTTCCATTAAACCCAAAAAAGTTAAACTTCTAGCAGGGGAGCAGAAAGCAACCGAGATTTGTGGTACCTGAAAACCAAAAGGAAGCCGCGTTTTTCCCAAAAGCATCTCTGATGCTTGGGTTCTGCTTTAGGTTTTCTCTTAAGGTGCCTGGGAGCGATACAAGCTGTGACGAAGAAGGGATTTCCATTGCGTTGCGCTGCAGACCGGGCGTGCGATGCCGGCTGGGGGTGCAGACCGGGCGTACGAGGCTGGCTGGGGCATGGCGGTGTGGGGCTGGCTGGGGGGACGGCGGTGTGGCGCAGACTGGGCGCGCTGGCTGGAAACCGCCCGCGAGCGAGACTGGCGCGGTGGACGCTCGTGACGTGCGGAAACCGCCCGCGAGCGAGACTGGCGCGGAGGACGCTCGTGACATGCGGAAACCGCCCGCGAGCGAGACTGGCGCGGTGGACGCTCGCGACATGCGGAAACCGCCCGCGAGCGAGACTGGCGCGGTGGACGCTCGTGACATGCGGAAACCGCCCGCGAGCGAGACTGGCGCGGTGGACGCTCGTGACATGCGGAAACCGCCCGTGAGCGAGACTGGCGTGGTGGACGCTCGTGACATGCGGAAACCGCCCGCGAGCGAGACTGGCGCGGTGGACGCTCGTGACATGCGGAAACCGCCCGCGAGCGAGACTGGCGCGGTGGACGCTCGTGACATGCGGAAACCGCCCGCGAGCGAGACTGGCGCGGTGGACGCTCGTGCCATGCGGAAACCGCCCGCGAGCGAGACTGGCGCGGTGGACGCTCGTGACATGCGGAAACCGCCCGCGAGCGAGACTGGCGCGGTGGACGCTCGTGACATGCGGAAACCGCCCGCGAGCGAGACTGGCGCGGTGGACGCTCGTGACATGCGGAAACCGCCCGCGAGCGAGACTGGCGCAGTGGCCGCTCGTGACATGCGGAAACCGCCCCTGAGCGAGACAGCGAGACTGGTGCGGTGGACGCTCGTGACATGCGGAAACAGCCCGCGAGCGAGACTGGCGCGGTGGACGCTCGTGACATGCGGAAACCGACCGCCGCGAGCTGAGACGGCCCCGCCGTGGACGTCGTGCACGCCGGGAAGGGAGAACGAGGAAAACGAGAGAGGAGGGAGAAACGCCGCTGAGCGAGACTGGCGCGGGGCGCGGGGGGGGGAACTTGGTTGTGACATGAGGAAACCGCCCGCGAGCGAGACTGGCGCGGTGGACGCTCGTGACATGCGGAAACCGCCCGCGAGCGAGACTGGCGCGGTGGACGCTCGTGACATGCGGAAACCGCCCGCGAGCGAGACTGGCGCGGTGGATGCTCGTGACATGCGGAAACCGCCCGCGAGCGAGACTGGCGCGGTGGACGCTCGTGACATGCGGAAACCGCCCGCGAGCGAGACTGGCGCTCGTGACATGCGGAAACCGCCCGCGAACGAAACTGGCGCGGTGGACGCGGAAACCGCCCGCGAGCAAGACTGGCGCGGCGCGGTGGACGCTCGTGGGCGCGGTGGACGCTCGTGACATGCGGAAACCGCCCGCGAGCGAGACTGGCGCGGTGGACGCTCCTGACAGGCGGAAACCGCCCGCGAGCGAGACTGGCGCGGTGGACGCTCGTGACGTGCGGAAACCGCCCGCGAGCGAGACTGGCGCGGTGGACGCTCGTGACACGCGGAAACCGCCCGCGAGCGAGACTGGCGCGGTGGACGCTCGTGACATGCGGAAACCGCCCGCGAGCAAAGCTGGCGCGGTGGACGCTCGTGATGGACGCTCTGCGGAAACCGCCCGCGAGCGAGACTGGCGCAAAGGACGCTCGTGACATGCGGAAACCGCCCGCAAGCGAGACTGGCGCGGTGGACGCTCGTGACATGCGGAAACCGCCCGCGAGCGAGACTGGCGCGGTGGACGCTCGTGACAGGCGGAAACCGCCCGCGAGCGAGACTGGCGCGGCGGACGCTCGTGACATACGGAGACCGCCCGCGAGCGAGACTGGCGCGGCGGACGCTCGTGACATGCGGAAACCGCCCGCGAGCGAGACTGGCGCGGTGGACGCTTGTGACATGCAAAAACCGCCCGCGAGCGAGACTGGCGCGGAGGACGCTCGTGATATGCGGAAACCGCCCGCGAGCGAGACTGGCGCGGTGGACGCTCGTGACATGCGGAAACCGCCCGCGAGCGAGACTGGCGCGGTGGACCCTTGTGACATGTGGAAACCGCTCGCGAGCGAGACTGGCCCGGTGGACGCTCGTGACATGCGGAAACCGCCCGCGAGCGAGACTGGCGGGGTGGACGCTTGTGACATGCCGGCGAGCGAGACTGGCGCGGTGACTGGCGCGGTGGACGCTCATAACATGCGGCAACCGCCACGTGCGCAGCTCCATGTGAACAGCCCGGCGCTCCAGGTACGCCATAATTGTCCTTTTTGCCGCACACCTGACCCGAACAAACGGTGCCAATGTGTTTCCAGGACGAACCCTCTCTTCAGAAGCTGTAGCCTCTTGGGGTTCGCCCTACTTATTTGGAAGCAGCCTGGAAGCACGTTGACATGAATATGCTGAGCACACTCGGCCCAAACAAAAGGGCGCATGAACATCCGAACAGCTGACCCCGGTCTACGCAGATCGTGGTGACACTGTGTCTCAGACTTGCTTCGGACAGGCGTCAGACCCACCGAGCGACCGAGGCTTGTCCAGACCGAGCCCCCCGCAAAAGCGCAGCGCCGGCCCCGTCTCCACACACCTGCGGCGAATCCACCCAACTTGCCATCCACACGCATCCAATTGACAACGTGCGCGGCCCTTTCCACAAAGTCACCAGTTGCAATTGGTTGCGAATGGGAAAATAGGTGGAGAAACTGACGAATCCAAGCAAGCTTACGAAGCAAGTAACAGCCCGACGTTCCAGGTGCGCCAAAATTGTCCTTTTTGCCGCACACCTGACCCGAACAAACGGTACCAATGTGTTTCTAGGACGAACCCTCTCTTCAGAATCCTGTTTATTGTTACTAAGCCCTCTTTGGGGGTTCTGTGTCGCCTAACTACTTTCTACTACTCCTCCTAACTCCCCTCTTTACTTATTCTCCTCCTTTCCTCACCTCCTCTTTATTATTTGGAGCAGCCGGCGGAAGCACGTTGTTGACATGAATATGCTGAGCACACTCGGCCCAAACAAAAGGGCGCACGAACATCCGAACAGCTGACCCCGGTCTACGCGGATCGTGGTAACACTGTGTCTCAGACTTGTTTCGGACAGGCGGTCAGACCCACAAGTGAACCGAAGGTTGGTCCAACACCGCGCCCCCGCAAAACAAGGCTTAGCGCCGGGCCCGTCCCCCCCCCGCCGCCCCGTCGTCTCCACACACCTGCAGCGAACTTTCCACCCCCAGCTTGCCACCCCCTCGCATCCAATTGCCTCAGTTTGCACAAAGCCGACCCTTTTAACTTTTGGATTTTTCTCGTTTTGGTCCTTTTTTTCGTCATGGATTCCCAAAAAGGTGGTTATAACCTTATATTTCCAGGTCCTCTCTTTGGTCAACTGAAGATTGACCAACGTGCGTGCGCGCGGGCCCCTTTCTTCCTTTTTCTCTTTCTTTTTCTCCTTTTTCTTTTTCTCCTCTTTCCTTTCATCTTCTTCTCTTCTCTCTTCTCTTTTCACTCTGTCACCAGTTGCAATTGGTTGCGAATGGGAAAATAGGTGGAGAAACTAACGAATCCAAGCAAGCTTACGAAGCAAGTTTGTGAAGGCCACGTGCGCGGCTCCATGTGAACAGCCCGGCGTTCCAGGTGCGCCAAAATTGTCCTTTTTGCCGCACACCTGACCCGAACAAATGGTGCCAATGTGTTTCTAGGACGAACCCTCCCTTCAGAAGCTGTAGCCTCTTGGGGTTCGCCCTACTTATTTGGAAGCAGCCTGGAAGCACGTTGACATGAATTTGCTGAGCACACTCGGCTCAAACAAAAGGGCGCATGAACATCCGAACAGCTGACCCCGGTCTACGCAGATCGTGTTGTAGCACTGTGTCTCAGACTTGTTTCAGACAGGCGTCAGACCCACCAAGTGACCGAGGCTTGTCCACACAGCCCCCTGCAAAAGCGCAGCGCCGGCCCCCTCTCCACACACCTGCGGCGAATCCACCCAAGTTGCCATCCACACGCATCCAATTGACAACGTGCGTGGCCCTTTCCACAAAGTCACCAGTTGCAATTGGTTGCGAATGGGAAACTAGGTGGAGAAACTAACGAATCCAAGCAAGCTTACGAAGCAAGTAACAGCCCGGCCCAAAATTGTCCTTTTTGCCGCACACCTGACCCGAACAAATGGTGCCACTGTGTTTTCTATCACGAACCCTCTCTTGAGAAGCTGTAGCCTCTTGGGGTTCGCCCTACTTATTTGGAAGCAGCCTGGAAGCACGTTGACATGAATATGCTGAGCACACTCGGCCCAAACAAAAGGGCACATGAACATCCGAACAGCTGACCCCGGTCTACGCAGATCGTGGTAACACTGTGTCTCAGACTTGTTTCAGACAGGCGTCAGACCCACCAAGTGACCGAGGCTTGTCCACACCGAGCCCCCCGCAAAAGCGCAGCGCCGGCCCCCTCTCCACACACCTGCGGCGAATCCACCCAAGTTGCCATCCACACGCATCCAATTGACAACGTGCGTGGCCCTTTCCACAAAGTCACCAGTTGCAATTGGTTGCGAATGGGAAACTAGGTGGAGAAACTAACGAATCCAAGCAAGCTTACGAAGCAAGTAACAGCCCGGCCCAAAATTGTCCTTTTTGCCGCACACCTGACCCGAACAAATGGTGCCACTGTGTTTTCTATCACGAACCCTCTCTTGAGAAGCTGTAGCCTCTTGGGGTTCGCCCTACTTATTTGGAAGCAACCTGGAAGCATGTGACACGCGAAAACTGCCCGCGAGCGAGACTGGCGCGGGGGACGCTCGTGATACGCGGAAACTGGGCGCGAGCGAGGGTGAGGCGCAGACTGGGAATCTGAGTTAAGGGGAGATTTGGTGGTTCTAGAGTCCCTGTTTTTTTTCTCGAAAAAAAGGATCAGCCAGCACAATCTTGAGCGGTAGCTCTCTTCCCCAGCTCCCGGACTTTAGCCACTTTTAGGGAACACGGTGCTGGTGCACAACAAGTGTTTCGACTTTCTTGATCGATCCACTCTGGAAGCATTCGGGATGCCTCAACTCTTTGGTGTAGCAGGCAGACCAAATGGATGGCGCGCTGCGAAAATGGCTCACATGAAACGGTCACTGGTTCTTCTTTGCTTGCCTCCAAGATGTTGGAGTTTCAGTCTGGGCCAAAACAACGTCTGGGCCACAAACACGAGCTCAGATGGGTGTAGAGCGGGCTTATGACTTGCGTCCAATTTGGGAGTGGTAGTTTGTGCGGATCCATTTTCGGATTTCTGCGATTGGTTCTTCATGATGAATTAGATGACTTCGTGCCTTCCATGTAGTGCGGGGCCTGTCATGTTTCACCCGTGCCTTTGCCTTTTCTTGGTCAGCACAGGCTGCTGGCTGCCTTGGTTTGCCTTCGGACCCTTGAGCCGGAAAACAACGGGATCCACATGCCATGGGGAGTGAGGCTGGTTTGCTTTTGGGTTCCCGGGCTCCTCTTGTTTTGTGCTTGCTTCATTTGAGGAACCGATTCGATCCGCATGCTCCGCCCATTTTTGTGGCCCGAATCGCTGGGCAGTTGATCCATTTTGCTTGGTGGCTCCCAGCCATCCGGTTCCTTAGCCTTTTAGCTTTTTAGTGTTTAGTGGAGATTTGCATTTAACCCGCCAAAAGTTCTAGGGGTACCTTCCCCATTCTTTCCAGGGATCCTTCTTTCTAGCAAACCTCCGGAAACCCAGGGAAAACGGATCCGCGTTTTGGAAAGAACGATGGTTGAAAAGAATGGAAAAGGAATCGACCCCCAGAAAAGTTAAACTTTTAGCGGGGGATCTGAACTGGGACAGCCCAGTTTAGGAGGATGTTGCCAGGTCAGGTCCCTCCAGTTTCCCGATTGTTTTTCTTGGTACACATTGGTACCAGTGAGGCTTCCCCCTTCCCCCCTCCCATTTTCTCCATGGTGGTTGATCTGAAGGTCCTTTGCATGGGATATCCACTAGGGAAACCCAAGCAGATGACTTTTCTTCACCACTTTTGGGCCAAAGTTACCTATGATCATTGCGCCGAAGGGCATATTGCCAGCCCCGTGCGTCGTTTTTCTCAGCCCAAAAACTCGGCTCTCCCAAACTCGCTCGACCTCGACACCGAGCTTCTCTCTCGAGGCTGCCTGCGCGGCGGCTGCGCGGGGACGTGGTCAGCGCCGCCAGCGCCATCACGGCCTGCGAGAGGTCCTTCCGCTGGCAGCAGGCGCTGGCGCTGTGGGCGCTGTGGGCGCTGGCGCAGAGAGGGCGTCAGGCGAATGGGTGGATCGGGTGGGGTGGGGCGGGTGGGGGGGGTGGATCGGTGGGGTGGATCGGGTGGGGGGGGTGGATCGGGTGGGGTGGCTGGGGTGGGTGGGGAGGTGGGTGAGCGGGCGGCTTGGGGCAAAAATAAACGCCTCGAATGGTTGAGACGCCTTGCGTCTGGCTTCTTGCGTCGAGAAAGGGGGAAGATCGAATCCAGGCAGATGTGGTGATCTACAATGTCACCATCAGTGCCTGCGAGAAGGCGCGGTTTATGAGGATGGCAGTTCTTCGGCCCCGTTTCGGTGTGGCAGGTGCCACCCCGAAACAGTGATCATTCACTGTAGTCTGGTTTTGGATTCCGGCAGTCTCATTTAACAGCTCTAAGTTCCAGTTAACAGCCTTAAGTTCACGCAAACTTGAAGGTTGGGCTCGTTTTTGCCATTGTTTTGGGCTGGGCAAGATCAATTCGGAAGTGTGAGACTCTTTGACCATCAAAGCGATTACTTGCTTCACAAGAGCCTCACACCATATCTGACTTGAATTGCACAGCCCCTACTGTTTGTCAACACAATCGCAAATATGAGCCCACACTGCAGGCTTGCATGAAAAAGGTAAATATAACATAACAGCTTGATAGAAGTTAGGCGCTGTCAAACAAGTGAGGAACGGTGCCATTTTTTACACAACTCTTGTCTTTTGCTTTGGTTGGGCGGGGTTTCTCGCAGGCCACTTTGCAGGTTGGTTCCCTTTGCCCCCCGAATTTGGGGTCAATCCGATTTTTCTGAGCCCCCCCCCGTTTTTGCGGGCCAAGTTTGCCACATACTCGTGGGGGCTGGGAGTGAGGGAGGGGAGGGAGGAAACTGAAATAAGCCGCCCTTAATAAGTCCTATAGGGGAGAGAGCCCAAATAATCAAAAAACTCCCTCCCCCCCTCCCAAGCTAAATGCCGGCAAAACCGTGGCCAGGCGCGCGCCTGGCGTGAGGCTTTGGGCCTCTTGGCGCGTCTCCGCCGTCGGAACCTCGCGCCCAGCGCGGCCACCTGCAGCGCGGCGCTAGCCGCCTGCACTGCGGCGGCGAAGTGGCAGCAGGCGCTGCAGCTGCTGCTTGGCAGGCGGAGCAGCCGGGGCCTGAGGGGGGTATGGGTCAAAACCAATGGGATCCCATTTTGGGATAGGTGCACCACCCATGTTAGTCTATTTTAGTGGGGATTGGGATGTTCACTGGGGGTACGGGATTGTGGCCATTGGCTACATTAAACCACCAGGAAATGGACCGCAGGTTTTAGAAACCATGTTTCCATTTAGCAGGGGAACCCATTTTGGGTACATATTTTTGACCCACACCCAGGGAAGCCAAAGAAAACGCGTAACATCTCAACAAATTTTGTTGGGCTGTGGTTGATCACAAGGGGCTGATCCAACCGCTTCTGTGAACAGAAGTGGAAACGCCCCCCTTATCGGGGGTTTCGTCTTTGGGAAACCCTTTGCGTCTTTGCGTGTCACAGAAGTGGTCGTTTCCCACAGCCCTGCTCCACATCATTTAGGCGATTTAGGTTGCAAGTACCCAAGATCGAAAAGCACGGCCAACAATTTTGTCCATGGGGCTGGATGCTTGAACAGATTGCAACTTATGAGAGAACCGACTAGTAGCCATGTGAGCCGTGTAAACCCCCAGCTAGCTCGGGATGTTTCAGGATGTTACCCTTTCACCGGCCATGGGCATCAAGGAAGGACAAAATCAGGCCCCACCCATCATACCACTCATCATCTTAAATAAACATCTGAGGGTAAGTTTGAGAATGTCGGCCTAAGCATCTTGAAACTGGGCCGTCAATTTCTGCCTATGTTGCACCAGTTTGTTTTCCAATGAGAAGTAGACTGCAGCTCTGAGCACGGGAAATCCAGTAACCCCCTTTCATTGCGCCGAGGGATGAAGGGTTTCTTCCAGCTCGAAAACTTAAACCTTGCAACTGCCGGCATGTGTGAAACCAGGTGGGGTTGCTTCTCAACAACGCCTGTTCCCCCGGTTTTTTTCCCCATGACAGTTTTATGGTCTACGCCGCTATTGGCCCGTGCTTGTTCTTTGTTCGCTTCCCAAGCACCCACCCCCAAAACCCACCCCCTGCCCAACCCCTCTTAATCTCCCCCAGAGCGACGAACGCCAACCTCAACCCCCCCCCCTCCTCCACGAAAAAAAAGGCCGGCCCCAGAAAGAAGTACAAGCACTTTGAAGAGAAACCACGCCCGCCAGCATTTTTCCTCATCTAGTGCCCGTTTACCCTTTTTGGGGGAGGGTTTCCCTACTCAAATTGACTACGGAAAAACATCGGGTACCCTTATTCCAACCTCTTTGCTGGAGACCCCCCCAAACCCCCAACCCCCCCCTCAAAAAAAACAAAAAAAAACAACAACAAACACCAGCTCACAACCGTCCAAATCCCCAAACCCCCACCCTCCCCCCCCAAAAAAAAAACACAAAAAGCAAAAAAACCGAAGCAACAACCAGCTTACAACCGCCCAAAACCCCAACCCCCCCCCAAAAAAAAAAAAAACAATCAACAAAACAACAGCTCACAACCGCCCAACACCCCAAACCCCAAACCCCCACCCCCCCCCCCAAAAAAAAAGAAAAAGAAAAGCAACAACAACAAAACCGGCTCACAACCGCCCAAACCCCAAACCCCAAACCCCCCAAAAAAACAAAAAACAAAACAAAAAAACACAATCAACAAAAAAACAGCTCACAACCGCCCAACACCCCAAACCCCCCCCCCAAAAAAAAAAAACACAAACAAACCAAAAAAGCAAAAACCAGCTTACAACCGCCCAAAACCCCAAACCCCCCCCCCCCCCCCCAAAAAAAAAAACAAAAAACAAAAAACAGCTCACAACCGCCCAACCCCCCCCCCCCCCCGGCAGCTTCGGCGACCTCATCACCTGCAACGCCGCTCTGGGCGCCTTCGCCTCCGCCCAGCGCTGGGAACTCGCGCTCTGGCTGCTGGAAGCGCTGCCGAGCCGCGCGCTACGGCCGGCGCCCAGCCTGACTCAACGGGGGCCGTCCTCTGGTTGAAAGGGAAACCGACAAAGAAACATGAGTTGCAGATTTTATCTGATTTGTTTCAAGGGAAACCATCATTTTTTGCATGTTTTTTTTTTTTTTTTAATTGCATCTTGTTTCTTCTGATTGTTTCAGGGGAAACCAACAGGGGAGCTTGCAGGTGGATTTGTCGGATATGTTCTTCTGGCAAACGAGCAAAACATGATTTGCATGTGGGTGTCTTCAGTTTTGTTCAGGGAAACTTTTTGTTCGATGTGATGAACTTGCTGTTGGGAATGGGTGGGAATGTTCCCGAACTCAACCATCAAAGTGTTGTTTGCCTTCCCTGAGAACCAGAAGGTATCTGGTCGAAGGTGGGCGAGGGGGGCTGAGGTTTGTGAACCGCTTGATTTCCTCTGAGCGGGATCTAAACGGGCAAGCTCGCACGTTTGAGAGGGGCACGTAAGGAACCCAGTTTTGGTCTCCCAAATGTCCTTTTTTGTTCTGATGTTTGCGCGGTCCACAAAGGGCGCGACAACGGCCAGGGTGTACGAAGAGTTAGGCTACGCCCCTTATCTGTTTGATCAAACGCCATGGTGCCACCGGGTCAAAGTTCATCAGTGCAATGCCTGACGTTGCGGAGGCTGCCCAGCTCTGCAAGCAACTCTTACATAAATTTGGGCACTTGGTATATAGGAGGGCTTCGAAGCCCAAAACCCAACATTTCTGGGATTTTCTCAGAGGAAATTTGCTCCTGCGGTTTCCCTGTACAGATTCAAGAGGGGTACGAAGTGCCCATGGACAGTTTACAAAATATTACACGAATGAATACATAAACAACAAACGACGACAAACACGTAAATAATATGAATGAACAAATGACATATTTTATATAGATATACGTATATGCCCATGTGTGTGTATGTTGGTTGTAGAACATGCATTTGCATGTTTGTAGATAGTAACCGGTAGAGGGTAAATAAAATGGAAACTCCTTAGCCTTGAGTCAGCACTCCCAACGGGAAGCTGAGGTGTACTGCCTCCGATCCCATGTCCATTTCCCGTAGGTCCGAGTGAGCCCGAGTTGTTCACGGGTATAGGGGCGAGGTCCCCTTTGTGGTTGGCCGGGAGCTGAGAACAATCCGCGAAAAGCCATGTTTAAGTATACTGCGCATGGACGAAATCCTGCACTTTGGAACCATGGTTGAACCCATTGCTTGGTAATCACATAATCACAGGGGGAAATCATCATTCCAGGTTTTGTTTTTTTCTTCGGTGCTGCGAAATGGAGTTCGTCCATCCGCAGTGCTGGGCTTTGTACTGGGAGAGCCAAGCTCGATCCATGGGTTTCGGGCGCTGGAGGACGCAGTGAGCTTCGACTCCGTGGTCCCCTGCCTCCCTGAGCGCTTTGCGCACCAGCTTCGGCGTCCGCGTCTTTCGGGGAAGCGCCTGAGGCGAGGGGTGGGGCCGGTCAACGGTCTCGTTTTGCCCTTGGGATGGGCAAGGGAAGCCATTGCGGAAAAAACCCGGACATAAATTTTGCAGTTCCTTGCCATTTTTTTAAAGTGTTGGTCAAAGGAAACTGGTCGTCATGTGAAACGAAAACTTGGCCACTCTCCAAAGTTATTTGTTGGGCGTGCGTTTTTGGCAGGGTATCCCTTTTCAGGCTTGTTCGACGGGGAAACCAAAGAGAACACCGCGCAGTTTGGCGTGAACCTATTAATTAGACACGCAAATATTTGGAGCGGGGAGGGAGTCCCCACAAAGGTTGCCATTGGAGGTCCCAAAATCTCAACCGATCTAATTTCAGGTTTTAGGTGCGCAATGGGAGTTAAGTGACCTGAGAAATGGAAGCGAAATGACTTTCTGTCTGAAGGGAAGAACAGCCTGAGGATACCTTGAGTTCATTCGTGCAGATCTCCGTCCCCGTGCAATTGGGGCGTTACCGTCAAGCCTTTCGTGGAATCCGAATGAGTAGCTCCCAAATGCCAAGAGCCGCAAGTTCCAAAGACCTGGTTTGGATTGGTTTGGGGAAACATCCAAACCAATTGGAGGGAAGCTGAGAAATCAAGTTGTGGGTCTGGATGTTGGCCAAGATGGAAATCCGTTTGGAGGTTGAACATCGACTCACTCCCTGAGTTTGTGGCATTCATACTTTTCGTTAAGACCGTTTTCGCGGCACAGACACAAAGTTGACTTGTTTTGGCCAATCGAAGTGAATTGACCAAGGAGCGGTGCTTGCAACATTTGGACAGATTCTTGCAACCTTACCAACTCCGAGTTTGCGACCAACTCTGAGTTTGCGACCTCATGACGATTATTCCTGCATATCAATTTTCATAGTTCACACTGCGCGTGATTGAACAAACTCAACATCGCCAACGACTTGATTGTGCATACAGGCTACAGAAAATGCTTTGCAGTTGCGCTCTCCCGTAGGCCCGCTGCTTTGGACGCGGAATGGAGCGGCGACGCGGATGCTATGCTCACCAGTCCGTTTTCTTCCGAAATCTTTTGGACTTGGTAAATTGGCAGCTTTCTGATAGCCCCCAATTAGTGGTTCTGGTTGGTGCGAGTTGAACTTTTGGATATTGTAGGGAAACGGGAAACCAAATGCTCTTGCGGGTCTTCCCTCAGGATGAGTTTGTTTAGAAAGATCACAAGGCATAATAACCTAGGTCCCCCAGCTAGGTGCCCTTTCTCACCAACTTTGTTGGGGGAGGGTTCCCCTACTAAAATAGACGACAGAAAGAGTTGCTACCCTTATTCTAACCTCTCTGGAGGACCTAGGTACGGAGCCCCGAAAACAGGAGGTGTATTACTTTCAACTTGTAGCCATTTTTGAGTAAGATCGAACGTTGAGGTGTCCTTTTTGCCGACTTGAGTTGCTTAAAATCCCAGTCAAGCTGAGGTAAAACCAGCAGGAAGGTCTTTTTTGTCCTCTTCTCCCAAGGGATCTTATGGTTCCCTGGTTTGGTTCAGGCCCAATATCCAATATGGCTGGTCAAGCTCATTCCGGCCTTTTTGGATTGCTCACTTCCCGAGTTCCTGGACTTTTACCTTTTTTAACGACCATTTTAGTGGCAACCCAAAAGTTTGGGTTTTGTTCGGCCAATCCACTCAGACGGTGAGTATAACTTTATAACCGGGTTCTCTTTTTCAAAAGCAGCACAAAAGGTTTGCCATCCTGAAAAAGAAATCGACCAAGCCTCGGGGTCCCTAGACGATTTCAACCAAGGAGTCCCTAGATCACGCAGACGCCAGACGGATGCTCGAGACTTCCCACCAGATCGTGAAGAAAAATTGGTCGCAGCTTTGCGGCGGAGTTTTTTGGTGAGGACTTCAAGACTTGTTGAGATCAAGCGCTGAACACTTCACAAAAGTGGAGATGTTTTCTTGACCCCCATCCACTGAAGAATTGCAAGTGAAGGGCTTGTCGGACGGGATTCGGATGGGTTGACTTGCTTGCATCTGATGCCTGTCGCTTTTTGGCTCCGCAGCCCTTCCCGATGGTTGTGGAAAGTGGGTTTCAATTTGTTGCCACTTTCTTTGAGCGGCCAATCACCCCCCCGGATACTAAAGTAGTCATTGGACTCAGCCACTAAGCCCTGAAAGTTGTTGATGGGAATCAACGGCACAACAAGATTCATAAGTGGCAACTCATTTTCCACGACCATGGCGACTTTTCCCGCTTAAAGCCATGCGCAGCCTTCTCCGACTTGGCGCAACGGAGGCTGGTAGCGAAGGTACCCTGGGTTAATATATGCCGATGGCAAGCTCGCCCGGGCGTAAAGCGAGCAACCACATGATGTAGGTCCTTTGCTTGGAGAACCTCTATTTCAAGCTTTGAACTCTTGCAGAATTCTCCGATTGGTGGTTTGGATTGGGTTGGGGATTTGCAACCATTTTCGTGATCACCTATACAGAATACACCAACCGCAACAACACCGGGCCCCAAAGGCCCAACAAGGCTCTCTAAACGCTCTAAAGGGCTTCGGTGTTGATCGGTGCATTGCCTTCTCGGGCGTTTCTTGGGCTTTCAGAAAGCTTCGAGACCCAGCGAATGAATTTCTTGTGGGTCTTCCCTCGGGAGGAGTTTTTCTTTTCAGAAAGATCACAAGGCATAATAACCTAGGTCCCCCAGTAGTGCCCTTTGTCACCTCTTTTTTGGTTAGACTACAGAAAAAAAAAGAGGCTACCCTTATTCTAACCTCTCTACTGGAGGACCTAGTAACTGAGACCAGTCTTATAGGTTTGATGCGCAGCGACTCCTAGTTTCAGGATTGAGCCGTCTTGAAACAGGAACTGCAGCGAACACTTGGTTGGTCTCCTGTCGCCTGCCTCTAAATCTAGCCATGTTTCAAGAGATCCCCCATTTACAAATGCACAAATTGAACCAAAACCTGTTCACCATAGTCTCTGGGTGGTTTAGCTGCTGCTTTGCCGTAGTTTCTGGGGGTGCCGTTTCTACCAGAGTTCCATTTCATGAGCGCCCAAAGGTAGGCTTAGTTGAGCCCAGGGGTGGAATGTGTCCCGAAAGTACAGGTTAGGGAATGAGGCAATGACCCCCTTACCATGCCTGATTCTGGGGGTAGCTTCCATTTCCATTCTTTCCAGGGATCCTTCTTTTCAGGAAACAGGGGAAACCGGTTCAAAAGAATGGGGAATCAACCCCTAGACTTATGACTTCCTTTGACAGCAAGAGAAGTGTGAAGCCCAAAGGTGTCCTTTTCGGTTGTTTTGGTCGAAAAATAGATGGCCCTCTTTTGCCTGGTGGTTTAATCATCTACCAGAGCCATCTATTTCCCGTAAAAGGACACCTATTGTGAAGCCGCGTCTCTTCTTCGCGTTGCGGCAGGCGATTGACCGCCGGCTGACGACTCTGATCCACGCGCGGGGCAAGGCCAAGCGCTGGCAGGCGATCCCGGGAGGGGACCCAGCTTGTAGCTGCATGGTACGTAGTAAGTAATTACATGAGATTTTAGGGGTTTTAAGGTTATGAATGTGACACAGACATAGTCCTACTGTATGTTATGACTTCCATTAGCTTTGGGGTGGTGCTCATACCTCTTGCATGTCAAACAAAGGGCTGGGTTCATGGATCGACCGCTTGTTTTTGTTGTTTCGCTCGCGGGGCAAAACGCTCGCCTGTGCAAGCATTGCCGAAAGAATGCATGTTGGATGGACCCTTGAAGGGCTGCTCCACAAGTAGCACAAGGGAAGCCTAGGGGGCATGCGACTGTGGATGGACAAAGTCCTACACCACTTTGAAACCATTAAAAACCATTGTTCATTGGTTTTTACAGGGAAATCATCATTCCAGAGTTGTTTAGGTGCTGCGAAATGGATTTCGTCCATCTGCAGTAACACCACTTGGTCCTTGGAACCAGTGCCCCTGGGGGCCACTCCACAGTGCAGGGGGTTTTCTCTCAAGGCCTTGCCCCAAGCTTTGGCCAGGAGGCGCTGGACTTGTTCTATGCGCGGGCTGGTCCTAACATCTACCTCTTCAATGCCACCATGGGCGCCTGTGAAAAGTCCTCGCGGTGGCAAGGCGCTTTGCATTTATTCGAGCGCCTGCCCAAAACGAAGCTCCGCCCAGACGCTGTCAGCTACAACTTGACGATGAGCGCTTTGCAGAAGGGCACTCAGTGGCAGAAGGCCTTGCAGCTGTTTGCCTCTATGCGAGTGGAAGGAGTGGAGCCAAGCGGTGTCTCTTACAACATCAGCCTCAGCGCTTGTGAGAAAGGCTCGCAATGGCAACAGGCACTCGCTCTGTTCCAAGCCATGGGCGAAAATGGCCTCAGACCGGACATCATTACTTGCAATACCCTGTTGCTTCGGCGAATCGATCGGATCTTTTTCGGTTTTCTCCTTTCCTATTCCAGCCAGCAAAAGGCAAACCTTCTAGGTGTAACTTTCCCATTCTTTCCAGGGATCCTTCTTTCTAGAAAACCTCCTTGGAAACCCAGGGAAAGCGGATCCTGTTTTTGGAAAGAGCGATGGCTCAAAAGAATGGACAAGCAATCAACCCCTAGAAACCTGTTCTTTTTTTCCAGGTGCTTTGGGCCAGTGAGCCACAATCAAAACCTGGGTAAATGAAGGTTAGTGAGAGGCAGTCCCAGCCGGAAGTAGTCGCGGCCGCCTTTCTAATTCTTGAAGCATGGTTCTGGGTCAACCATTTTTGTACCAGGTGTTGATTTTGACTAGTGAGGCTGAGTTCTTGCAAGAGACTCTGGCACCGAGCTGCTGCAATACTGGCATCCATGCCCCAGCACAAAGTTCGCGCAGACGCGGTGAGCTTTAATACCGTTCTGAGCTCAATGGGAAATGCTTGGCAGCAGGCTTTAGTTTCTTGGAAGCCCAGCCATCCGGTCCTTAGCTTTTTAGCCTTTTTTAGTGGTAGTTTTCATTTAACCCACTAAAAGTTAGTCACTTTTTGCGGGGGATCAGAAAACGGGCCCAGGTTTATTTTGAATCCATGCCGAAGAAATCCATCAGTCCAACTACCATCACCTACAACACCCTCATCAGCTTCAAGGATGTGCACTGGGAAGCATCCTTGAGCTTGCTGTCCCTCGGCGGCTGTCTCTCGCTGGGCCGAAGCAATCACTCATTTGTAGCTGTTTTGCGACAGGAAGCGCGGAACACCGAACGAAGCAAATTCATGTTGGACTAGAGGTTTCCCAATTCAACACAAATCCAGACCAGCTATTAACATTTGGGTGTGTCTTTTTTGAGGGTACCTCTGTTTTGTGGTTTGAAAAGGAAACCACCCATTGTCAGGGTTCCCCCAAAAGACGAGCCGCCCATATCGTGGTCCATCGGGTTCATCTCAGATTTGAAGAACCGCTAATCATACTGTGGATGGACGATATCCATTTCGCACCAAGAAACTCCGCTTTGAGGATTCCCCCCTGTAATTACCTTCAAACAAATTGGTTCAGGATTTAGTCCATCAGAGGAACTCCTACACAATAGACATCTTTGTCTTCGCCGGACAACTCCAAAACAAGATTGATCCACTGGAAAGCACGCAGTGGGCTTTGTGGCAAAGCTGGGCGTGTTTGGCATGTGGATGTTCTTTAATTTAACGGCTTCAACAGGCTCAGCTGGCTTTACGGTTTATCGACAAGTCTAATTGACTCTCCCTTTGGGTGAGTCTACACCTCTGCTGAAAGCTTTAGCAATTCCGAGCTGTTACTTGCATTGGGGCCCTGGTCATCTTCGAAGAGCATTCCTTACAGCCCTCGAGTTTTCTTCTTTTGCAAGGCTCACAAATCCAAACAAAGCCAGATCATCCAGATCTGACCTGGGGTTTCCATGGCCCAGGTGATCATTTTTGTTAGGATCAATCTTCAATTCAGCGGATCTTCACTAAGATTAGGGTTTTTGTTGGGGTTCTTTTTTGAACAACCCAGGCCAAGGTACACAGGTGTTTTGTTGTTCCAGGTCGACCTCCCCCCCGAGTTCGGAGTGCCTAGTGCGAGTTCCCCTCAGGACGAAGTCTTGGGTCCCTTTGAAACCATCCCGTTGAATTCGCCTGAGCCCCAGAAACCTTCTCTCTGGTTTTGGCTTTCTTTGGTTTTCCTTGAATGGGTGTGTGTTTTGTTGACCCAGTCCATTTGGGTCCGAAACCCTCCACATACCTCAGGCAAGGCGCCTGTAACAGCAACACTCCCGACCCCATATCTACCCCCCAAGTTCCTCGCGATTTACCCCCAGACGGTTCCCAAAGTTTACCCCCAATGTCCAGCTGGCAGCAAGGTCCATGATGTTTTTACGCCGCGTTGCCCCGGATGTCTTCAGCTACGCCTCCGCCATGAAGGCCGTGGCCTCGGAACGCTGGGAGATGGCGTGCCAGCTCTTCGAAGAGATGCGGAGGCGGGGACTCACTTCCTCAGTGCATGAACTTTAAACTTTTTGGGAGGACCATTTTAGTGGTACAGCAAAAGTTTGTACTTTTTTGGGGCCATCCACTGAGCCAGTGAGGGGATGAATCGGTGCTGAATCGGGGCCACGTTGTTTTTTTGATCGGGGGAAATCCGATCCGTCTTGGTTCCTCTTAGTTTCCTTTTACACCATCTCCACAAACACCGCTCAGTTGGCGGATATGGATTCTCACTCCCGGAAACTCCGGACTTTATATTGATCCAGACCCTTCATTCAACACCAGGGTTTTTCAGGTGGAGTTGGGCTGCTCTAGATTGGGTATCAACGCCCACTTCCTAATCTTTGTATGGAGAGGGACAGGTATGGTCCCCGGTGGGAAATAGAAACATACGGTCGAAAAGTAGAACCCGAGATTCTCACTCTCTGAGTTTCAGGTCTGATTTTAGGGGAAGTTCAAACAACAGTTGGCTGTTGGGCAATCCACTGGGGTCTCTTTGACATATTTAGCTCTTTTGAAACCTCTCGAAATATGGGCAAAAATCAAGGCATGATATGTTTGTCGTTTGCGGGTCAAGCTGAGGTAAGGATGGGTTCATGTCTGAGGCTTGAAAATTGGAGTAGATTGGGGTTTGCTCCGTACGAATTGCCTTGGTTCAGCCGCACCCTCCTGCATCCAACTTTTGTTTGGGGGTTCCCTGAAAATGGCCAACCCCATAAACAAGGACCTGTCACTGGGCAAGCGTCGACCAGAGGTTGAACAATCAAGCAATGAAGGCCACATGGAACTTGGGATTTGGGGCAAAATCACGCTCGCAAGGATTCTGCAAGATTGTTGCAATCAAAGAGTAGCAAATGGGTCTATCTCCTTTTAGGGACCCTCACACATGGTTGTTTTTTTGTGGTTGTTCTGTAAAACCGCACAAGAACAGGCCCCCGAAAAAGCAAAAGACACACCCAAATTGGTTGGGTTTCCTTTGGTTTCCCTGACAACTTTTCTATGCCGATCGGGTTTTGGGAGCGCTTTGTGAAGCCCCAAGTTGGTTCCCTTGCCTCCGCTCGAAGTGTTTGCCTCTATTTAAGCAGGACCTTGTCGCGAAGCAAGTGGAGTGAGTGTCCCTTGGTGGTGATGTTTGTAGCTTCAGCTGGAATCCTGAAATATGGGTGATGTTCAAAGGAAAATCTGGGTTTGTCTCCAAATGCTGGAACCTCCTGGGTTGTTGATGTTCCCTCTTAGTTTCCCAAAGCACTTGCAAACAGTGCAGCCACTCACAACCAGTGTGTGTATGCTTTCAGCATGGTTTCAACAACCTCCACTGGGCTTCCATTTGAACGGGGGCATGGTCCGCCTCTTGAAACCCATTTTAACACCAACACATCAAAGCTAAAAGCGAAAGGGCACCAAACCCCTCTTGAGGCCTTTGTTGAAGTGCTCCTAGCCTTGATGCTCTATGGGGGGCACCGCTTTCTGGCTATCAGTAAGGAATGCCGGAATGACCCTTACAACCAGTCCCTCGTACTTCCTTGAAGGCAATCCCCTTCTGCTTCATTTCCAACACCCCCAGAGAGCTTCCTCCTGAGCACCTGCCAGGAGAGGATCATTGAACAGCCTGTTTTCAGGTGTCCCCTAATTGGTGGTGTGGATTGCTGGTTCTTGCGAAGGGTACAAGTAATCGGGGAACCGCCCGGACCCTCCACCCATCCAAGCCACCAGTTAGAGGGCAACGATTGTTTGTTGGACCAAAACTTGACTGCTATTGGGTTGGATCTTTAGACTTTCACTTTTTGGAAAATCAAATTGGGTTCTCCACTAAACTCACAAAATGTTTAACCTTTTTGCAGGGGTCTCGCCAGCAACAAAGAAACCCGGGGGATTCGCCAGTCGCCGATCCCGGCGGCGTTGTCGCTTGCCGCTTGCTTCGCCAGGTCGGGGATCCAAGCCAATGCCATTAGCTGCACAACAGTGATCTCCGCGTGCGAGCGAAGCACCCGGTGGCAGCTGCCCAGCCAATTTGGACCCCGGAGGCTCCAATTCGATGGATTTCTCTGTTGCCCAAAGCGAATCGACCTGATCTGACCTTTTGGTTTCTCCTTTTTGGTCTAGTTTTGGTCATGGCCAAAGGTGATCAGCTTTTATTTCTGGGTCCTTCGGGCAAGTGAGATTTAGGGCCTTCAAACAACTTGGGTTTGAGACGTGTCTAATGGAGGGTCGCGTCTTCCATTGAAAGCCGAAGCCGATCGGAGCCTCTGGGAGTCAGTCGGGTGTTTCTTCCTGCTTCAGGCTTTGTCCTGCCTGGACCTTCGTCCTCCTGAAAAAAAAACGTAGTTTCCGCCTTTGACTGGATATTCGGGAAATCGTAGCACTTTTTGCCGCAAAAACCTGAAACTCCTAAAACTCCTAAAAACAGACTATTCCAATGCTCGCGGCCTTTGACAGAGTAAACGAAGGTTTGCAGGGGCAAACGACTGAATGAAGCCCGCAAGTTTGTCAAAACATGCAACGGCATTCCAAAGTTGTGCGGTGCAGAAAAACCGTACCCATTTTGACCGCAAAACGCCCGCAAATTTCCGCAAAACTCCCGCAAATTTCCGCAAAACTCCCGCAAAAACCCGCAAACTCCCGCAAATCAGAAAAAGTCGTAGTTTTGATGATCAAGGCATCCCATGGTGTTCACTGGCACGTTGGCAAGTGCTGCGAGGTGTATTTACTTTGTATGGCCAATGCCCGACTGGAAACGACGCAATTCGTATGTGTTTTTGCCCAAATTGTAGCTAAACCACTGGAATTCGGTAAATCGTAGGGGTCTCCTAAAACACCCAGAAATTTCCCGGAGTTTGAAGGTCCAGGTGTTTCGGATCTCCCCTGGTCCGGTGGTCTGTGAGTGGGCCTCCTTTATTTATTTATTTTTTGGGGGGGTCCCTCAGTTGTTCCGATGGTTCAAGCAAGCAAACAGTGGCACAACTGAACCCAGGAAAATGCAACACTTTTGGGATAATGTGAAATCCAGTGGCAGGTGCCCTATGAGAAGTTTGATGCCGACGGTACTTGTGTTACGCATAAGATGATCCGGGAATTGCTAGGTGCTTTAACAATGCGAACAATGGTTGCGGGCTGTGGGTCAAAACCAATGGTACCATTTTGGGGTAGGTGCACCAGCCATTTTAGTCTATTTAGTGGGGATTGGGATGTTCACTGGGGGTACAGGATTTTGACTCATGGCCGTTCATGCATGTAAGTTCCCATCTTCCGTGGTTTAGGCACCATGGTCACAGCGATTCGTCCCTAAGCAGGCCCAGCTCCGTAGGCCACTTCAGTCATGGGTCCTGGCACTGGAGGCTTTCCTATCCCTTTTTGGCAAACACAATCCAGGGCGGCTTCTTGATGTGTGGCTATGAAAGGAGCCGGTAAGTAGAAAGCTGGCGTTGCATCAGGTGCACGGTTATCCACAGTTTGGGGGAAACAGGGATCCAACATGTTTTTGGTAGTACAAAAGTGAACACGTGCCCAACATCCAAATAAAGTTCCAGTTGAAGCTGGAATGCCAAATGCGCACTGCCAGTGTTTTGAGCCGGGGGGGAAGTGATCCGAAATTCGGATTTGGGACCAGTGGTTTCTTCATGCGGCTGAAATTGCCCTGGCATTGTTTTCAGGCTGGAGATTCCGTCCCCCGGTTTGGTCACGGCTTTCGCTTTAGGCTGGCAGTAGAGCTACTGGCAGCGGCCGAACGGCCCGACGTGCTGTGCTGCAACGCCGCGCTGCGGAGCTGTGACAAAGCGGCCCAGTGGCAGGTGACGCTACAGGTCTTTGAGCAGATGCAAGAGACGAAGAAGCCCGGCGCTTCCCCAGACCCACAAAGGCTTTCCCTTCCATTTGCTGAAATGATTTTTTCCCTGTTGGTTTTAAAGGGAATCTATCACTACGTGAAATATGTTTTATTTTTTCAGGGGTCTTAACCAAACGGAAGTGTCCCTTCTGGTTTTTTGCGGCCGTTTTGCTGATGGAAGCCCACGGGAGTTTTGAGCTTCAGCAGATGTTTGGCTTTTGTTCTCCAAAATGCGTCTTCTTTTTTGGGGAGGAACACAAAAGGCTTACTTGCCCAACCCCAACTTGTTGACCTCCAGATGTTCCACGATAGCTATGCAAAATGCTAAAACTTTGGAAAATAACAATGGGGGACTTTAGGAACGAAACATGGCATCTGTTTTCGCCCGTTAGACCATTGCTGAAGTGATTTCAGATGCCCAGGGGTTCAGTTTGAGCCTCTTGAAGTTGGTGAAGAGTCACTTGTTCCATAGTGCAAAATAATCTGCCCAATGCTGCCCATGATTTTTGAGGATCCTTCCAGACCTGATGAGCTACAACTGGACCATCAGCTCTTTGCAGAAAGGCACTTTGTGGCAGGCAGCTTTGCAGCTGCTTGGGTCCATGCGGAGTACGGACTGCCTCCCAGACTTGACCTCTTACAACGCGACCATTAGCTCCTGCGAGAAGCTCGGCTGGGCCGGCCTGGTACGTGCGGTTGCATCAGACTTTTCTCAGTTCCTTGAGCCACCCAGGTCCCAACGCCGGAGCAACAAGACCCTTTGGTCCAAAAAGCCTTTGGTTCTCAACCATTTGGTATGGGTCAAGATTGAACCTCCAAAATACCACGCTTTTTTGTTCCTCGGTTCCACCGGGCAACCCATTTTGGGGTTACCCTATTATTGACCCACCGCCATTTGGCTCATGGCTCCCAAAGGGTTTTTATTTGACGAGGAAGGACTCCCAGTGGGAAGTTGCGCTGCGGCTGCTGCAAAAGATGCCGACCCCCGACATCTTGAGCTTCAACGCGTGCATCAGCTCCTGTGCCAAGGCGCGAAAGGGTCGGGCGCCCCAAGCTGAAAGACGCGTCACTCCTGTGTTTGTTTTCGTTTTTCTACAACAAACAACAAACGGGTGTGCCTTTTTAAAAGGGCGCCTTGGGTTTGTGTGGGTGTTAAAGGGAAACCAAGAGGAAACAACAACACCATAGGGGGTCCAACCTCAAAAAAGAGACACCCTCATTGTGCACATAGAAAATGGCTGGCTTCCTGTTGCTTTCTGTTTTCAAGCGACCAACAAGGGCGTATCCGAGCTGTCAAGGGATTCCCAATCCTGCTTAGGCATCACAAAGGTGCCCATTTCCCCGCACGAACAGCTTGAGCAAAACTGGGACCCGGACAACAAAACAGAGAGGCAGCACTTGATTCCCCAGGCAGTGCCTTGGTTTCCACCAAACCTACCTGGAGTCTCCATGACCCTCAACAAATGGGGTCATTACCCAAAATTAAGGCGTCATGGACCCATTTTTTCAGGGTCATGAAGACTCTAGGTAGGTTATGTTCACCAGCCGAAAACCAAAAAAAAAAAACGAGAACCACAACAAACCCTGGTTTTGCTCGGTCGGGACCGCCTTGATTGAGAAGAGAAGGGTGTTTTTCTCGAGTCCCGCGGGGCGAGTTTTCCCGCGAGGCCGAGCTGTGGCAGATGGCCACGAGTCTGCTGCGCAGCATGCGAAACGTGGCCATCTCTTTGGACTTGATCAGCTCCTTGGCGTTTTTTTTCTTTCTGGGTTGGATCCTTGGATCCAGAGACTCAGAGTCCAAAGGCAATTCTTGGTGCCCTTTCTTTCACCCGTTTCGTTTTTGGGAGATTCGGATCCAGTAAAATCGACAGAAACAAATAAGAAGCTGGTACCAACTTCTTCTAAGCTCTCCACTGGATAGGATGCAATGGTTTAGATCCGGATCAGGGAGTTGCTGAAACCCGATTGGGGTAGAAGGTTGAGGGACAATCCCCTTGCCATAAATCGCTTCGGAGATCCGCCTTCAGTCTTTGCATGGCTACGGGCAATGACTCAGATGAGAGTCAGAGTTGTTTTGTTTTCACGGGGTGGGGGAACGGTTCTCCAACAGTGGATTCAGAGTCCACGTTCAAACGGGGAACCTCACCCCCATTTAATTCAACCCGGGTTTATGATTCTGGAACATGAAGGGGCAGTCCGGAGTCCGAATGTTTGTCAATGCTTACGAAACATCGATTCAAAGCTGGGTGTTTTTTGGTCGAAGTGGGTTTTATTGATCCCGAGACGGATTGTGTCCATCAACACCTGGAGTCTCCGTGACCTTCCAAAAAATGGGGTCATGACCCCATCATTTTGGGTAGTGACCCCATTTTTAAGGGGTCATGGCACGTACCTATGTGGACTTCCTCAAGGCTTCAAGTTTGGAACCCGAAGAAAGAACGCAGTTAGGCCTGGAGAGCGGAAACAATCTAGGTCCCCCAGTAGTGCCCTTGTACCCTTGTTTGGGGGAGGGTTGCCCTACTAAATAGACTACAGGAAAAAGGGTACCCTTATTCTAATCTCTCTACTGGAGGACCTAGATTGACAAGCTGCAATGGGTCACTGACTATGTCATTTCCCGTCTGTTGGTTTGGCGGGCACGTGGATGGACTCCTCACAACCGGACAAAAATCGTGTTTGCAACCGGGGATCCCAAATCACGTTGCTACGTGCTCCTGGGGAAAGACTCCTCTTTCTTTTCGTGGGGGTTTTGAGCTCGCAGATTGGGGGCCAAAACGAGCAAGCCTAACATCATGCAGGCCGTTCCCTTTAAATTGGTGGCTCCCAGTCCCCTTAAGTTTTGAGTTGTTTAGGGTTTAGTAGTTTCCACTGAAACCACTACCCTCCAACCAACTAACATGGGTTTGTGCAAACAGGCCAACTTTCCAAGAGGAAAGTAGTCTTTCTACAGGGGTCTGTGCACCAAACCCATGTTCGCTGGTGGGAGGGTAAAAGTTTTTCTTTCGCCGGGGATCGACGGGGAAGAGGTTCAAGATGCCCCGTTCCCACGAACATCCACCAGACCCATTGCCCAGGCTTTACCTCGGCCATGAGTGCAGAACGCTGGGAGCTTTCCATCCAACTCCTGGCGGACATGCGCCCTGAGCTGAAGTTTTCAAGTTAACTTCAAGGTTAAGTACTGTGGATGGACGACATCCGTTTCGCACCACCTAAGAAACCCTGGGAGAATTCGCTTGCCCTGTAAATTTACCAACAAACAATGTGGTGCAGGATTTCGTCCATCCACAGTAGGAACCCAAAGATAGATTTTGGTTTTCCTTTGCTTTTCCCTTACACCAAGCGGGTACCCATTTGCGACTTCCGGTGTCTGTTTGTTCAGGACCATCTAAATCCCTTTTTGTTTGGTGGGCTTCAACCTGAACAATGGCGCCCTTTTTCTTCCAGCCCAGGCAACTGTTGGGGAGGGAGGAACGGGCACAAGCTCTACTTGCTTCGCAGTGGCAGGACTAATTGGGGTTAGATGAATCGACATTACGCCTGTTCGAAGGAGCTACATCAGACTTTGGGCACGTCCATTTTAAATGGCGGGATACCAAAAAAAAACATCCGATGCACAAATCTCACCTAGTGACTTCGTCATAATTAAGTAAGGCCTCAGAAGTGGGAAAAGGCATATTTCCCACAAGCATTTCAAGCATATGTGTTTGTTGGTTTCAAACATGGCGCAGGTTGCCCTGTTCGCAAATCGTTTGTTATTTTTGATTAAACCACAATAAACACCTCCGTAGACCGGTGCGGCCGCCTCTGCATTCTTTACATGGTTTCGGGTAGGCCGCTATGGTACAAGGTGTTGATTGTGACCCAATTGGCCAATTAGAGCAATCCCAAAATGGTGCTTGTCCTTTTGATCTTCCTTTACCACTAAATCAGCTAGCCTCAAAAGCACAGCCACTCCCACTTCAAGCTTCAATCCTGGTACATGTTGTCCTTTTCATCTTCCTTTACCACCTTTTTTCACCTTTCCAAAAAAGAAGTGTTTTCCTTTTGGTCTTCCTTTCCGACCTTCGTTCAGCTCGCCGGAGAAAACTATTAAAGAAATGCAAATAAAAATTACAATCATATATATATATATATGTCTAGTCTTAACAAAAAGAAAAAAGAAGAAGAAGCACCACTGCCACTTGGACTCCAGGTACCAAACAACGATCTCCCCGAACGTGATCAGCTTCAATACCGCCATGGGCGCGTGTGGGAAGGCTCAGCAGTGGCAGGCGGCAGTGGAGCTCTTCCAGCTTATGGCCACTACGGAGGTGCGCTCGGAGTGTTGTTCCCTAAAAAAGCCTCTTAAAAAGGCGTTTTTTTTCTGTGCTTTTTTTGTTAGAGGCTCCTGGCTTCGGTTTTCAATGGAAGACCTGACCCCTCCATTAGACACTCCGGAGGTGTTTGGGATCTCATTTTTTTGGGAGTATCGGAGATTCCTCCAAAACTAATGAACTAACGGTCTTGTTGTTCCCTAAACCCTTTAAAAAAGGGGGTGTTCTTTTTTGCGAGAATCCCGGGAGATTCCTCCAAAACGAATGGTCTTCTTCTTCCAGTTGCTTAAGCAGATTTGATTTGTTCCCGCGCTGCTTTTAAAGGGAATCTATCACTACCGAACATATACTCATTTTTTCCAGTGGACTTAAGCACAATGAGTGAGGTCCAGCCGGATGTGGTTAGCTTCAACAGCGTGATCGGAGCGAATGCGCTAGGATTGCAGTGGCAGCTGGCGTTGCAGTGGCTAGAGTCTATGCAAATTGCCAGCAGCCTACCCTTTTTATGCTTTGTTTTTTGTGGTTTTGCTTCTTTGTTGTTCAAAAACAACACGTTTGTTTGATCCGTTCAGGCAAGACATGGGCATGGAGCCCAACGTATACAGCTACTCCGCACTCTTGGAAGGCCCAGAGTCCGCATCTGCGAATCCCGTTTTGTTGGGTTGGCCGAAAAGGTTGTGTCAGAAAGACAACTGCCCTGCATTTTGCTTGGGCCCCCAAAGGAAAAGACCTTCAGCAGAAACTTTGTTGTTTTTTGGTGGGGGGAGGAGGGCTTGGGCTTGGGCTTGTCTTCAAGGGCCGGCTGTGACCGGGCCCAATTTCCAGGCCCTTTCTCGAGATGTGTTTTTGATTCTTTGTGGCAAGTCGAGATACGAAAGAGATTTGGGTGGATTGGGTGCTGTCGAAAAGGGCCCCACACTTGGTAGCATCTTACGTCTTAGCCCTTGATGATGGCTGTGTTTTTTTTGAGGGAAACCTTTTGGGCTGAGTAAAGGGAAACCACAATTTTGGTGTTTCTATTTAGGGCTTCATGTTGGCCAAGGCAAAAGCGGGTTTTCATTGTGTTTTCCACCTGAGTCACTGGCGTCCACTGAGAGTGCCCATTCAGGTGGTTCTACTTAGAGGTCTCAGGCCTAAGCCTTCGGAGAGCCCTCTTGGTAGCACCAAAAAGGTCTGTCAAACTAGGGGAATCCAACCCAGACATCTTGGCTTTCTCCCTTATCAACCCAAAGCGGTAGCCTGAAGAAGAAGGATGCTGATGGACGAAATCCTGCACTGCCTAATATGAAACCCTGCGATGATGTTCGATTTCCCTGTAAATGCCTAATGGTTTCCCATGGATTCTAAGCTCAGTTGTTCAAAGCCGACCTTTTGAGGTGTTGGGTTTCCCACTTGTGGTCCATATGTAGCCATGGCCCCAAAAGGTTAGCCTTTACTTGACGGCTATTGGGTTGGATCTTTAGACTTTAACTTTCTGGTTGAAATCAAGTTGGGTTTTCCACTAAACCCCCAAAAAGTTATTCAAGTTATTCACTTTGTGCAGGTCCAGGTCCTTCAGCTGAGAAAGGTGGCGAACGGATTCAAACCCATCAGGTCACTCGACTTTTAAGGCGCGTGCGTTTTTTTTTTTGCGCGCAGGTGTCCAAGCCCGGGAACTGCAAGGATTCCTCAAGCTGAAGTTGCGAGGAAAAGCTGGCTGAGCCAGCACCAATTCGGAGGTGGGAAATGGCGCCAAGTTGGAATCCCCCCCATATCGGGACCCGCTCCCTCCGTATCCCCGCCTGCCTGCTTGTTCGTTTGTCCACTCCTGTGCCGCCAGAAAGCCTGGTGAGCCGTGAGGGCCGGCGATCGATCAAGCCTCGTTGGCCCACATGTTGGCCCACCGCTCAGCGCGCGGAACGCCGAAGGCCTCTGGGCCATTTTGGTAGGGTCGACCCGGCTTCATGGGAGACCCACGCGACACTTTGGCATGCGAGTGGAACCAAAAGTCAACGGGCTTCGCCGTTCCAATAGCTGAGGTTTCTTCAGGTTCGCCAGAGCGAAACTCAGGGTGCGAGGGCGACAAGGCATGTTTGCCGGTTGGCTCAACCAGGCTTGGGCAATATTTCTCGAACACCTGGAGGGAAAGAAATTCCTTAGTTGTTGTTGTAGCATGCTTTCCGCCGCAGTAGGTGAATTGTGTTTCCCTTGTTTGACCAACGGAAGTGCTATATACTTTTCTTAGACTCGCTCTGGAACCTGAGGCAAGTTGTTTTTCGGTTTGGACCTTATGCTAGTGAAATTGTGAGTTTCCATTAGAGGCAACCTGTTTGACATTTCCGGTTGGGGGGACCTTGCCAAAGAGCCAAATCCGCCGCCCTTTTTTTGGAAGAACGGCGTAACCGACCACGCTTGCGAACATGAGAATTGCGCCACAAACGAGCAACTCAGGTTTATCTTTGGCCAAGCTTTGAGATTCCTGCCAGCGGAACACTTGAGCAGCTCGGCCCCAACAGGTTGACTAGCATCCACCCGTTCAATCTCGCTCCTGGCTGCGATAGTATGTTACTATAGCTTGCTTGCTCGGTTTGTACATTATAGTTTTTCTTTAGCATGTTTCTGTAAAAGATAGCTGGATAGGCCATAGGAATATGCAAAACGCAAAGCTTCGTGCGCCCTGACTGAGCTCGGCGCGAGTCTTGCGCCGAGTTGGCAGTGCTGTACGACATCTTGGTCGAGGTGTTTACGCCGAACCCTGTGGTTGAGGAGTGCCGCTGGGCGGTGACACATGGCTGACGCACACATTGGATTCCAAGGGAAGGAGGGGGGAAACCGCAAGATCATTCAAGGATTTGGAAAACTTATCGCCCGGAGTCATGTGGATTCTGGGGCAAAACGACTGGAATTGCAGGAGGTCAAGCCGATCGAGCATGTCATGACGCATTGTCCATGTTACCTGTAGTCTATGTGTCAGGACTATGAGCTTTTACCATTATTGTAAGCGGGGATCAACATGACACGGCCCGCTTTTCGAGCTCTTGTCCTGAATTGGCCACATTGCCACTTGGTGAAACCAGGCGGGTGCTGGCGCAAATGGGCACCCGATGTCCGGGCCAAGTGAGCTCGACCTTTGAGAGAGTTGGGACGGTGAAAGCCATAGACTAGGTCTCCCAGTACTGCCCTTTTACCTTTTTTTTGCGGAGGGTTCCCCTTCTAAATAAAATAGACTACATAAAGTAGATGATGGCTTGCCCAGCGGTTCATCCAGCTTATGAAGGATACGTGGCCATGGGTCAAAACCAATGGTACCATTTTGGGGTAGGTGCACCACCCTTTTTAGTATTTTAGTGGGGATTGGGATGTTCACCGGGGGTAATTACAGGGTTTTGACCCACAGCCATGTAATTACCCCGGTTTCCCTTGGAGGGGGTGCCTGGGGGGTAGTGGCAACCATTAGACATACGACCTTTGTTTCGCCTGAAGCGCCCCTCGCGTTTGTTGAAGGAACCGTTGCCAGCTCCCATGAAACACCTTCCCTGACTGCATTTGAATGATTGCCTCTTAGAACACAGAACGGTCCTGGATCCTTGGAAAGAGGTTAGACCACATGCGGGTTCCTGTTCAGGATATTGAGGTTAGGTCGGCATATGCCTATTCAGCAGTTTATGGTCAAATTGACGGAGGTGGACGGACTCACTCAATCTCAAAGAAAACAAGGGACTCCCTCATTTTCCCATGTCAATGGTGCACTCACATGAAGAGGTTTGTGCACGCGGGCGTTCAACTATGCGGATTTTCCACGACCGCCGAGGTGCTTCAACTATGCATGCCGAGTTGCTTCAACTTGCGAGGGAGATGTTTTTCCGTGGGGAGGGTTCCCTTTTGCGCCCCTTGGATGGTGTAAACACAGTACCTGGCGACATTTAAAGTGAGCCTCCATTTGACGGAGAGTATCAAGTTGAAAGGGAAAGAGGCACTGTTTGGAGCATGCCTGAGCCATGTGTCCCTGTATTGGGGGACCTCCTGCGAACTTGTTGGCCATCATATTCTGTTCTCAAAGGGCCCTTGTTGTCGCTTTTTGGCATCATGTTTGTGGGAGATGAACCCTTGGCCCATGTTTGCCCCCTGTGTCAAGAGAAGCCCCTTAAGAGTGGTCATAAGTATGGGAATTCCACTCGGGCATCGCAGAGCGAGTGAATCATTTCAACCAAGTCACAGTCTGCAGGTTGTCACAGCCACGTCTCTTGGTCACGGTCCATGTTTGTGGATTCCTTTTCGGGGTGAGGCTTGCCACCGGAAGGGCCATCTTTCTTGCAGTCTTCCCTGTTCTTGAGTTGGTTTCCCTTATGAACCAATGGTGTGCCCACATAGGAAACGAAGAACAAAAACCTGGTCCCGGTCCCCAGTATCCCCTTGTGAGACACACGTCCGTGCACAATTTCCGGGTTCCTTTGCGAATTCTGGGCAGGACACTGAGTACATCTTCCACAAGATCGACGCCAAGTTTCTCAGGCGAGCAGAACTCGACAACACGAAAGGTGCGCATTCCTGGGATTGAGCTATAGCAGCCAAACATATCGCTGTAGGTTTACAGTTTACCACTAAAGTGTTGCAGGGTCTGGGGCATGTTACCTGTTACTTGTTTTCCTAGGTTTGTATGACCTTTTATTCGTCAGTTGGATCCTTTCAGACTAGGGTCAAGAGGGGCTGCCCTGCTTCCTCATTCACCAGAGGCCACCCAGTTTGTCCGGTCTTTGGGAACGAATCACATGGTGTCTTCGTCGCGAGGATTCGCGAGGACTGTTGCAGACTCCAGTTTCAGGCATCAAACAAGTCATGAGGCCCAATATGTCGTCAGTCATGTAAGAGTCGTGAGCAAAGCAACCTTTGCCCGTGTGGCAAGCACGGCTCTTCGCTCTTCATAGCTATTACTACACCCACCTTTTTCCTGGACCGCTCCAGGGCACAGGGGGAAAAAGTCTCGCCGGACGTTTGCATGAGATGTGTACGGATTTCCAGTGCCTGAGGCGTGGACAAGAGCAATAGTATTAGTTCCCAGGCCTTGGGGACATTTGGGGACTGTGAAGTTGCAGTTGTTGTTGTTTTTGCCTGGCATTCAGCCGTGCTTTGCAACCTTGATTAATTTTAGTTCATAGGCAGCCAGAGTCACGTCGTTTGCCCGCCTGACATGAACTCTAACGGAAGGTCTTGCATAGAACAACAGATTGGTGGCGGATGATAGTCACCTCGCCTCTTGGAGGCTTTGCAACCTTGATGAACGGGGATCCTGCAGAATTGGTGAATGATTGTACTTCGAGATCAAGGGTGCATGGGAATCCAACATGTGTGAAACAACCATGGTCGAAACTCGGCGTGTCTTTAGGTACCCCCTTAGGTTGTTTGAAGGGAAACAAAAAAAACAGAAACCAGCCACCCAACCCACTCACGAGAGGTTGGACTACTGGACCTTCACGCCGCAGGCCCTGCACTCAACGGGACCATGTTGCGTTTTCCGGGTTTGCCTCCAAAACCAAATGGGTGCGGGTCAAAATTAAACTACCAGGGGACTACAGGTTTTAGTCCATGTGTCCATTTACCAGGGTTCCATTTGGTTAAGAACGTGTATTTTTTTCCCCTGTTGGGTCTAAAGGGAATGAATCACTACTGCAAATATGTTTTTTCCAGGGGACTTAAGCAAGCAAGTGGAGGCTTGGAAACCAAATCCCAAACGGGTATCAACAATAAGAACCACTGCTTAGAGCCCTGTAGCCCGCTTGAAGGGGGGGCAATGGCATGCGGCATTGCTGCTTTGAGTTCTTTCGGGCCTGTGTGTGTTTCGTTGGAGCTGGGTTTTGCCCGTTGAGGGTGTGGTTATTGAAGTCTGCTGTGAATTGTTCAAAGCAGACATGTCCGCCCTGGTGAAAAGAACCCAAGGCCACGTCACAAAACCAGGAAAGAATTTTGCTGACACGCAGAAACCCATCTGAAAACGTTTGGTTCCTCCCTTGGAGCTTGTGCACCCAAGAACCCAAGACATCCCTAAACAAATTTGGCAACACCAACTTCTACCCCAGACCTCCCATGCCCCATGCTACTTTTCTGAGGGGTTTTCGGTGCCCCTGGAAAGTCAGGCAGCGACCAACAACAGGGTTCCGCCTTTGTTCAAAAGGCCCCAGGAGGTCCGGGACATCCTGCATTGGTTTCAGAGAGTAGGTCAGCGAAGAACGAAAAAGAGATACTAATGAGGTAAACATACATTTTGTTTGAAAAGATAGAATTAATAAAATCATATAACAACATGATAATAATAACAACGAAAGAAGAACGACTAATTGCGTAAACAATTGCATCCTAAGACTCCTTGTAGGGCCTTGTAGACCTTGTAAGGCCTTGTAAGGCTCCTTGCACGGCCTGGTAGAACTCCTTGTAGAATTCGTGTTTTTTTTCTTCTTGTTTTTTCTCGCAACTATTGCCCGCCCTCAGTTTCAGAGCTGTTCCATGCCACTTCCCTTCTTTCGGTTTTGACAAGCCACGCGGAAGAAAAATAAAACCCAACCCAAGTCCATCGAAGGTTCGTGTGGGTATGTGATAGAATCATGTCGGACCTGCTTTTATCAGGGGTCGCTTTTATAGAAAGTGTTTCCTAACTCAGATTCCTGTGACTGCTTTCAGGGTCGGTCGCTTTAGTAGTTTGTTACATTTCTGGACAGACCATCCGGGC